TTGCTAGACAGGTGTTCTGCTACATGAGTCACACTCTCAGCCCCTTTGGCTTTAGTTAATTTTTGAATAGGGCACATTTATGCCTATGGTGGCCTGGACTGTGATCTTCATATTTATGCTTCTTGCATAGCTGGAATGACAGGCATGCACCTTACACCACATGTTTATTGGTTGAGATAGGATCTTGAAAACTTTTTGCCTGGGCTGACTTCAACTGTGATTCTCTTGATCTCTGCTTCCTGAGTAGCTGGGATTATAGGCATAAGTGCCTGGACTCTATATTTTGGATTTTAATGTTATACCTATCACTCCTCTTTCAAGTTTGTTAATGTTATCCTTTTTTCACTAGAAAGTTTCTCACTTTTATGTTTTCAAATATGGGGAACTTTAATAATATACCACCTGAGCTTTATGTGAATTTAAATATGCCATTAAGGTATTTTTATAAATCATATTCCATGTTTAGATTTTAAAGCCATTTAAAATGCACTTCCACTTAAGTAAGGATTTTCCTTAGTATGCCAGTGCCATTCTTTGAGTAGTGTTTTCTTTACATGTTGACTTGAAATATTCATCATAAAATAAATCCCACATAAGTAAGAATATTTCTTAAAATATTCCCTAAAGATGAAACATTGATGATAGAAATTGAAGAGGACACAATAAAGTGGAAAGACATCCCATGTCATGAACTGGAAGAACCAATAATGTTAAAATTTTCAGTTGTATGTGGTGTCACATGCCTGCAATCCTCTCTATTCAGGAGACAAAGGCAGGAGGATTTTGAGTTTAAGAGAAGCCCTTGGAAAAATAGCAAGGCCATTTTTCAAAACAGAATGAAAATGAAATGGCTGGGGTCATAGCTCAAGTGGTAGAGTACTAGCCTAGCATTCATGAGTTTCCAAGTTCAATATCCAGTACTTAAAAAAAAGGAGTCCATACTACCCAAAATGACGGACAGATTCAATGCAATCCCTATCAAAATACCAATGACATTCTTCACTTAACTTCAAAAAACATTTCTAAAATTTATAGGAAACACAAAAAACCTTCTATAGCCAAAGCCATCTTCAGCAAAAAGAACAAAGTGGGAGAGAAAACACTACATGATTTCAAAATATACTACAAAACTGTAGTAATCAAGTCAGCATGGTATTGGCATAAAAACAGACACATGGGCAATTGGAAAAGAATAGAAAGAAAGGCAGCCAACTGATTTTCAACAAAAATGCTAAGAAAACACATTGAAGAATGGAAAGTATTTTCAATAAATGGTGCTGGGAAAATTGAATATCCACATGCAGAAGAATGAAACCAGTCCTCTACCTCTACACTACAAAAACTTCAAATGGGTTACATTTGAAAATATGAAAAAAACTAGAGGAAAATAAAAGGGAAATGGTTCAGAACACCGCAACAGACAAGGTACTTTTGCATAAGACTCCAAAAACGCAGTAAAGAAAATCAGAAAGAGACAATTGGGATAAAATCAAACTATAAGCCTTCTCAATGGCAAAGGAAGAATGAACAGAATGAAGAGACAACCTACAGAATAGGAGAAAATATTTTCAAAGCATACATCTGACACAGTGTTCATATATAACATATAAAAGGAACACCAAAAGCACATTAATAAAAACAAATAAACCAATTTAAAAATGGGCAATCGACCCAATCAGATATTTCTTTAAAGAAGACATATAAATGGTCAACAGGTATATGATAAAAATCCTCAGCATCAGTAATCATCAGAGAAATGCAAACCAGAAATGTTGCAGGAAGAATGTTGGACTGGTAAGAACAAGACTCAAACCCATGTGGTTGGAGGAAAGGAAGATTTATTACGCTAGCAGACCAGCACCTGGATCTCTCCAAAAATGGCACCAGCTCCATAGTTTAGGGCTGCGGGGGTTTTTATGCCTCAGAATGCAGAAGCAAGCAAGAGGGAAGGACAAAAACAAACATGACGGTTAGCCTTTCACTGAGAGGTTACAACATATCATACTAGCACAAGGTTACAACTTATCACACTAGCACATCTGTGAAACTGGGGCCTGGCCAGGGGAGGGAGCACATCTGTGAAACTGGGCCCAGCAGGAGGAGGGAGCTTCTACTTGCCTTTAGATCTTTCCCCTGGGTTTCTTTATCAAAACTATAATAAGTATCACTGGCACCCAAAAAGCCTGTGCTGACAAAGATATAGAGAAAAGGGAACTCCGGCACATCATTGGTGGGAATGTAAATTATACTCTGATTGTGGAAAACAGTGTAGACGTTCCTCAAATATTAAAAAAGGAACCATTATGTAACCTCACAATCCCACTACTGGGTATATATCCAAAGAAATGAAATCCATATGTTGAAGAGAGAGATGCACTTCCATGTTCAGCGTGACAGAAAAATAACACTAAGAAATGGAAACTACCTAAGTGACCATCAACTGATGAATGAATAAAGAAACTGAAATATATATACACAATGGAATGCAATTGAAGACTAAAAAGGAATGAAATACTGTCATTTGTGACACCATCAATGGAACTAGAGATAATCACATCAAGTTAAATAAACCAAGCACAGAAAGATAATTGTCACATGACCTTAGTCTCATGTGGAATCTAAGGAAGTTGGTGTCATACAAGTTGAGAATAGAATGGTGGTTTCCAGAGACTGGGGAGAGTGCAGAGGAAGGGAAGGATGGGAGAAGTTGATCAACAGGTACTAAGTTAGATCTGAGAAAAAAATTTTGGTAAGTTATTGTATATTGACATGATTATAGTTTTAAAAATCTTAGAAGAATTTTGAAAGGTTTTATCATAAATAAAAGATAAACGAGGACATAGTTTTACCTTAACTTAGTCGTTATACAATATATAGATGTATCAACATATTACATAGTAGCTCATTAATATATGTGATTTTCATGCTTTTATACATTAGTTTAAAAAGAAATAAAAATAACAACTTATTTATTAAAAGAGACATTTTTATGGGTTCGTTGTATGTGTTCTTTTATATATCTCAGTAGAGAGTTTGCTCTTTTCCTGTAGTTCTTGCATCTAATTTTCATTGCTATTGAGTATAGTATCATTGCTCATGCATAGTTTTTGTTTTTTGAGACAGGGTCTGACTATGTAACACAGGCTGACATGGAACTTGCTGTGTAGCTGAGGCTGGCCTTGAATTCTTGATCTGGTTGCCTCAGCCCCCAAGGTACCACCATGTCTGACTTCTTGTCTTTTTAATTAGGTGCCTCTTGTAAAAAGTGATTTAATTTAAATATTAATCTTCTATCTTTGGCAAGTCAAGGTGGCACATGCCTATAATCCTAGCACTAGGGAGGCTGCAGCAGGAGGATCATGAGTTTGAGTTCAGCCTGAGCTAAATTGCAAGTTCCAAGCCAGCCTGATCTACATAGTGGGAACCTGAATCAAAATCAAAATTTTTTTATCTTATCACTGATAATTCTGCTTTACTATGTCTCTGAGATTTCAGAGTTTATTTATAACAAGAACTGGAGAGGGAGGGAGGGAGAGAGGTAGAGAGAGGGAGGCAAGGAGGGAGAGAGAGAGAGAAAGAAAGAGAGAACAAGATGATGCTCAGTCAACTGGGTGGGAGATGACATCATAATTCAAGACATCAAGACATGAGATAAAGGTCAAAGAGAAAGACTTGGACTGCCTGCAGAGCCTCAGGTGTAATCACCCACTGGGCAGATGAGAAGAACAAAGAAGGAGGCCAGCACTTCACATGGAGGTGTGGAGGTCAGCAGAATACATGAGGATGAAAAGGTTGGGTTAGGATGCCATTACTGAGTGGGGACAGCTAAGGAAATGGATGGGCCAAAGTTGGGAACCTGGTCCCTGCCATATTGATGCAGAGAGTTTAAAAAGATTGACTGCTCCCTTCTTTGAAGTGGGAGAAAATGAGAACAAACTGCAGAATTAGTTTTCTAACTTACACAGGGTTCAATTGATGACACTCTGTGCCATGTGGAACTCAATGAACTTCATATTATTCTGTAAAATAGTTGTTCATATTTGTCTGTAAAATAGTGATAGAAAGACCCCATGTTTATACTATAAGGAAGTTGTTTTGGTGGTCCTGGGGTTGGAACTCAGGGCTTACTAGAAAGGTGCTCCTTTTTTGCTTTGCTATTTTTTAGAGAGGGTCTGGCATTTTTCTCCAGGGCCAGCCCAGACCAAGACCCAAATATCTATGGCCTTCTGCTAAGCTTACCTGGGGTTATATACCTATAACACTACATCCAGCCCTCCGTATAAGGAATTTTTTCAAAGTTAAAATACCAACCAGAAGACAGGCATCCTTAAAAACAGATTATTACTAGCTCTAGCTTCTTTCTCTAGTCTTGAGGAAATAAATGCTAGGGTCCCTGGCTATTAATTAATTCTATATAAAGACAAAATTTTACAAATGACACTATTGTACAAAAGGGCTACAAAATTTGTTTAGAGTAAGGACAGGTCAGAAGAAAATGTAGACATGAAAAGAAATAAGGGGAATGGGAAAGGTAAAGAGATGATATCAAAATTTATTCCCAAAGAACATGTACAGGACATTATAAAAAGGCTGGAAGTCGTGATATTTGGGTATAATACAGTAGTGACATAAGATTGCAGAGCACTAAAATGGTTCCATACACAAGACAGAATTCTGGATAAAATGATAAAATCCTGGGAAAACTTATAATTGTAAACACATAAAACGTTATTTATTTGACCACCATATAATAGTTTTATAGAATCCCAGGACAAGACAAAGTGGAAGGCATAGTGAGGTCATCAAGACTATGTTTCCTAGTTTAACTATTAGCTGAACTTCTCTTTTATGTATTGAGCAATTATGTAGTATGCCCTTTTAACAGAAGCTACCAGGAAGAGGGCAAAAATCTGAAATAATATTCCAATATTAATATTAAATAATTTACTAGATAAAATTATGTAACATTGTCAAGTGCTACCCTTACAAGCAAGGAAATTTTATTTTTTACAAAGTGCTCTTCTTAAAGTGCCATGCATGTCTCTGTTCCTCAGGCTGTAGATGAAGGGGTTCAGCATGGGAGTCACCACTGTGTACATCAGAGCCATGACAGTCTCCTTCATAGGAGAGTTATTAGATGATGGACATAAGTAGAGAGCTGAAGATGTCCCATAGAACAGTGAAACCACAGACAGATGGGAGCCACAGGTGGAGAAAGCCTTGTAGATGCCCTGAGCAGAAGGAACCTTGAGAGTAGAGGTGAAAATTCGTGCATAGGACATGACAATGAGTAGGAATGGAATGACAAGAATGAGTCCTCCCATGATAAATATCACCAACTCATTTACATGAGTGTCAGAGCAGGCCAGCTTCACAAGAGCAGACAAATCACAGAAAAAGTGGGGGATCATATTGTTCTCACAGAAAGACAATCTAGTCAGGAGTAAGGTGTGCAACAGGGAATGGAATGTGGTCAGCACCCAGGACAGCATCACCAGGCACACACAGAGCTTGGCGCTCATGATGCTGGTGTAGTGCAGAGGAAAGCAGATGGCTACATAGCGGTCATAGGCCATGACCAAAAGGAGGAAGCTCTCCAGGTCTCCAAAAAACAGGAAGAAATACATTTGTGTCAGGCAACCTGCATAGGGGATGGAGGGTACTTGGCTCTTCATATTCTGTAATAGTTTAGGAATGGTCACAGAGGAAAAGCAGAGGTCAGACAAGGACAAGTTGCTGAGAAACAAATACATGGGCGTGTGGAGATGGGAGTCCAGTAGAATGAGGACAATGATGAGTAGGTTGCCCAGGACAGTGACAAGATACATGGCCAGGAATGTGGCATAGAACAGGTGATTGTGCTCTGGCTTGATGGGCAGACCCAAAAGGAGGAAGTTTGAGATCAAAGTTTGGTTATTTTCTGCCATGCTCCTTATCTAGTATCTTTTAGAGAAAAATAATATTGTCTCCTTAAAATCCAAATAAAAATGAACATATTCCTAGACTTATGATCTGTTCTGTTTTTCTATAGTAACCGAGCTTACCCTCATCACAAAACTTACAATCTCCAAATACCAAGTGTGTATAATCCATATAATTCTTTGATATTTAAAAACTTTCATTATCATCTTTCAGTATATTATCACTTCCTAATCTTTTTATCTAGTGGCTTCCGAGACAAAATATATGTTGGTTTTTCTATTAACTGCCTAACTGTTCATTCTAGGCAACTGTAATTGGGTCTTATTCTTTAAGTATTTTATATGTTGATGACCATGAAGGAATTTTCTAAATGCTATCAATATACGTATATATGTATATATTCCTAATAAATATATATATTCCCAATAAATGCTCATCTACTCTAATGCCTTGGATTACCACTTAAGAGTGAGGTGTAGAGGTCTCTGTAACTTGCAGAACTCTGTATCCCCTTGCCTAATAGTTTTCTCCTTTTGGATGTGTCATAGACATGCAAGCTCAACAGACCAAAAATGAAACTTATGATATTATTTTGCTCTCTCTCAACTTCTACTCTCTCACATTCCAGAAAAAAGAGTTCAGGATCAAATCAGAAAACTGAAATTTATTTCATTCATTTCTTTCTCTTACATTTAACTTGAATCTAGTTAATCTTCTAGATTCATATCTTCATTCTCCTGCTACTTTATCCAGTCTTTAACACATATATTTCTAGTACATGATGATATTGGGTCTCTCCAGGACTATTGAGACAGTCTCTCATTTCACATCCTTGTGTCCATAACTGAATATCCATTTTCAAAATGCTTCATTCCCACTGTGGCATTCTAAGATGGAAATCCAATCATCTTTTTCCTGATCAGTGCTTTGGGGAATTATTATTGCTCTTAAGATTAAGGCAAAGTTCCTTTTAAAGGCACAAATGATGCTTCATTACCTGATCTGTGCCTACCTCCACAGCCTCATGTGGCCCCATAGATACTCTTGATTCCCACTCTGCAGTAAGTTAGGACTTGAAAGACCCTTTTTATTGCTTCTAGTCCTTTTTTTACTTCCAGACTAGAAACAGTAGCTATTTCTATTGCTTTGTCCTGTCTACTCCCTCTTCATGTAGCTTTCATCTAGTTTTCTTAATGACATGACATTATTTTATATTACACGACACTTGCTCAATTAAACTATCCCTACCTCCACACATATTAGGTGAGATCTGCTGATACACTCTATAGTATCCTGTACTCAAAAAATAACACTTAATGCCATCAATCCCTGGTTTGTAGCTGACTTCCTATCAGAGTGTGAACTCCATGCAAGAAAGGCCATGTCTGCCTTCATGACTGTATCAGGGCCAGCACCTGGCATGGTGCATGGATATGGCCAGTGTTTCATGAATGTTTGTTAGCTATGCTTCAGCCTGAGGCATAGATTCCTTCACCTTAAAGGCAATAAGCTCCTATTAAGTTAGAATCACTTCTCCTCTTCAATCTTCCCACAATAAAAAGTCTTAGGCTTAACCATGTGGCACTATGGTTTGCCACCCTATGATCAAGTTTACAGAAATAAGTATGTATTTATGAAAAATATCAAGGTATGTCAGATATATTATTCCTTTTAGCCATACATACGACTCAAAATAAATCTTATAGTCAGCCCACATGATCTAATTGATAACGAGATCAGAAATTAAATAGGATGAGCATTTATAAATATAGAAAAAATTACAAGGAATATTATTTTTCAAACATTCATTTGAGGTCTTCTTCAAATGCCTGTATTGATGCGATCACTAACTTTATGCATCAACTAACTTGGCCCTGATAGCACATTTTTGTTAAACACCAGTTCTAGATGTTGGTATGAAGGTATTTTGCTATGTTACTAACATTTAAATAAACAGACTGCAAGTAAAATAGATTACTTATTACTTTTCACTTTTTTTGACTCATCTTCAAAATCATGATGAGCCTCATAAGTCAAAGGACTTAAGAGAAAAATTGCAGACACATGAAAAAAATTCTGCCTTGGGATCTCAATAATGTAATGTTCACTCTTTGCAGGGCAGCCTGGGATCTCCCTCCCTCTCTCTCTCTCTCTCTCTCTCTCTCTCTCTCTCTCTCTTCTCTGTCTTTTCTGTTTCCTTCTGGGCATCCCTGACTACTGAGCTCCAGTATGTATAAATGCTGACAAAAAAGCAGAGGAGGAATGTTAAGAGACTAGGAAGCTCTTTCACAAAAATACTATGACTGAACCTGGGCTCTTGAGCCTGCTGATGGTGTTAATGCAGCTGAATTAATAGTCTGTATACTTGGATGTTATGTGTTGGCATTAGAAGGAAGAAAATGTAGGGTAGTCACTCACCTTATTCTCCAAATTCTGCTTCCTATGTGGGAAGGAGTGTGTGCAGGGATCACAAACCAGAGATGTCACCTGCAGGTGCTGCTGCTGGTGGTCCAATAAGCTTCATGTCTTCTTCATTAAGTCTGTAGTTCTCAACATGGGCTACACATAAGAATCTCCAAGCAATGTTTCTAACATTTAATATACATACAAGTCATCTTAATTCTGTAAAATCACTGACTGACACCTCAGTTTCTACATTTTAAATGAATAATCAATCAGGTGATGTCTATATCCTGTGTCAAAAGACTGTAGTTGTTGGATTCCACTGAGTAGCAAGTACTTACATTGCCATTAAAGGTATTTAAGCACAATCTGTGATAGGAATCACATTTCAAGTTTATTAAAGGTCTACAAGTAACTATAAAATAAAAGAAGTCTTAACAACTACTGTATTGTATCTTATCTCACAGAGTTGCTGTCTGGTTTTATGCTGAAATGATAGCATCTAGTGAGAATACATTGTATGGTAACAGTAGTGAACTCTATCCCTAATAAAAAGACTAAATTTTGACAACTAAGCAAAAGCTTCTACAATGTAGCAAAGTCTTGGGAGGTAGACAGATGGCAAAAGGAAAGTTATCATAAATAAAAACTTGTTATGCAGAACATCATACAACATAGGAAACCTAGAACAACAGTTTGGAAGGACAAGCAGCAGATAATTCTCTTTCCTGGTAGCCCACAGAGGATGCTTGACAGTGATTCCTGTACTGTAACCCAAGATCTTGCTCTCTTTTATTCCTTGCTGGCACAGGAAGTAACATCGTCTTAGTTACAACCATTTCTGCTTCTCTCTCCCCTTCTAGCCATCCCTGGGTCTAAAATGTGTTGAATCCCATAGGAATAAGGATCCTGGACTACCTCATTGGAGACAAAGCCATTACCTAAGACCTTGCTAGGACCAATTCCCTCAGAGTTTTGTAGTAGATTATAGTTACTATAACACTTGACTATTCTTTCGGGAGAAAGGTGGAGATGGAGAGAAGTGTATAACTGGATGTTAAATCCTTGACTGTGTAGGGAATGGACAGGAGTCCTGAGTGGTTGGAGCCTACATTTTGGGTTTTTGCATAGAATTATTCAAAAATCACTAAGATAATCAGAGCGTAGACTGCGAATAATTTAATATTACTCAGGAACAGAAAGGTTTATGATAAGCCATCAGCAGCTTTGTAGCAGAGTACCACCATGAAAAACACATGCTTTGGAAAGATTAAAAGTTACTGTCTCTCAAAATTATATTACTCCATGTGAACAGGCCTTAAGAGGGACAAACATGCTGCTTATAAGGACTAGACTTCTATGACTGAAATTTGTCTATAGGCCAATATATGGGAAAGACAGGACTAAAATTTCCCCAGATTATGTTTAGCATTTCCTCAGACCAAGAGAGAAAAGAAGCCCAGATTCCCACTCCATTTAGTTACTTTTAGCCCCCCATCTTTCTAGGAAAACCTTAATAGATCCCACCACCACCATCACCCCAACTACTCTCCACATGTCAGATTAACTCCTAATGCCATGCTCCATCTCTCTTCTACTGATCACAAGGCAGTAATTGACATGTATAATTCCTTCTTCCTCTACCTGTTCATGGCACTTGGCAGTCATCAGCTGAATGGCATTCTGTAGATAGTGATGTAATGCAAACTTTCATTTCTAGGGAATCTGCATCCTTATTGGTCTTGGCTTTGTTAGGTTGTTATAAATAATATTAGAACATGGAAATATTAAGTGGTACCTAAAAATTTTACCAGGTTTCAGGTACAGCTATTCTTGTTCCAATTGTATAGAGCAGCCATGTTTTCTGCTGGTAATCAGTGTCTTTCACCTAGGCAGAGTTACCTTTCTTCTCTTTATATATTGGTTTTCAGAAGAAAAAAATGGCTGGGCTGTTGGCTCAACTTCCAATTCAGTGATAGTGATATTATACCTCTTGACAGAAGAATTATACAATATACCAATATCATGTATACAATTGTTTTTGTATATTCAATCACAATCAATTTTAGAACTATTCATTACTCCTAAAAACTCCTGTGCCCATTAACAGCTACTGTCCTCTTTTCCTTCCTTTATCCCTACCCTCCAGAGGCAGCCCCATTCCACCTTTTGTCTTCATGGATTTTCCTATCCTTGATATTTCATATAAATAGAACTCATACAACATATAATCCTTGTAGCTGCCTTCTTTCAGTTAGCATAATGTATTTAAGATATAGGCATGTAATAGCTTGTATCAATACTTCAATTATTTTTATTGTTGAATAATGTTTAATTTCATGGACATAGCACATTATTTTTATTTTATCATCAGTTGATGTATCTTTCCATTTTGGGATTATTTATAAATAGTGTTTCTATGAACATTCATTCACAAACATTTGTTTATATACCACAATTTCTTAGGTGAATGTCTAGGAGTAGAATTTGTGAGTCATATAGTAATTTTATTTTTAACTTTTCCAGGGATTGCCAATAAGTTCTCCAAAGAAACTGCATCATATCATTTTGCCACTGGCAATATAAGAGTTTGAATTTTTCC